GCCATTTTAGGACACTGCTGCTGGCCATTTTAGGGCACTGCTGCTGACCAATTTAGGGCCCTGCTGCTGGCCAATCTAGGGCACTGCTGCTAGCCATTTTAGGACACTGCTGCTGGCCATTTTAGGGCCCTGCTGCTGGCCATTTTAGAGCCCTGCTGCTGGCCATTCTAGGACATTGCTGCTGGCCAATTTAGGGCCCTGCTGCTGGCCATTCTAGGGCACTGCTGCTAGCCATTTTAGGACACTGCTGCTGGCCATTTTAGGACACTGCTGCTGGCCATTTTAGGGCACTGCTGCTGACCAATTTAGGGCCCTGCTGCTGGCCATTCTAGGGCACTGCTGCTAGCCATTTTAGGACACTGCTGCTGGCCATTTTAGGGCCCTGCTGCTGGCCATTTTAGAGCCCTGCTGCTGGCCATTTTAGAGCCCTGCTGATGGCCATTTTAGAGCCCTGCTGCTAGCCATTTTGGAGCCCAACTGCTGGCCATTGTAGGGCACAGCTGCTGGCCATTTTAGGGCACCGCTGCTGGCCAATTTAGGGCCCTGATGCTGGCCATTTTAGGGCCCTGCTGCTGGCCATTTCGGGCCCTGCTGCTGAGTTTGTGTAGGGCGAACGCAAATCGGCTTACAAAGAACCAAGTGATTACGTGGAATGTACATTTTTACACTCATCTATGTTATTTAAAGATTTTAATTCAGAGAGCCAAAGATAGAATCATAAGTGTCGAAGCAGTCTTGCTTTTCTGAAACCTATTATTGAAACCTATTATATGCATCGCTTTCTAACGCGAAAGAAACAATAAAGTCTTATAAAAATATGACAGTCTGTTTAGTAAAGAGAATTTCACGAGAAATTCTGTTTGCATTTTTGTAAAAAGAAATTGCAAAAGAAGAAGAAATTGCAGGTGCCATTGTGATTCATTTATTCGAAGTCGTTCTCATAGGATGCGCATCATTAAAATTACACCAAAGAATATTCGAAATATTTCTTCGCTAACCGAGCAAGAAAATATTATTCAATCAATTAACATCTCGAGTATAAAAATTGCTGCCTAGATTCACCTTCAGACATATTAAATTCAAATTAGGAATGAATTTGGCGTTTTTAGCGCATTTTCTCATTTATGGAAAAAATGCACTATTGTGCTCGCCATGTCCGTCTGTCTGTCTGTCTGTCCGTCCGTCCGTGACCACATTTACGTCGACGAGAAAATGCGCTCTCTGTCACTCACTGCAGTGAGTACTGAGTTATATTTTTCCATTTTAGATGGCATTGTCAATTAATCAAACATTGTAACAGAAAAGTACATACCTGCTAGGATAAGTGCAGCGACGATCATCAGGAAAAGTCGGAAACTAGAACGATGTTCCATCTTCAATGTTTTTCCTAAATTGAAAACGTTATATGAAATTGAAATAGATAACAACATGATAGTTTTGAACACAATTAACTGAAGGGGGGTAATCATGTTCGATGTGAAGCATTTCCTTTTCTGTAGTTGTTTTGTAGAAACTTTCATGGCATATTATACTAAATAATTTATTCTTGGTATATTATTCTGATCAATTAATTCTTGGTATATTATTCTGATCAATTAATTCTTGGTATATTATTCTGATCACTTAATTCTTGGTATATTATTCTGATCAATTAATTCTTAGCATATTATTCTGATCAATTAATTCTTGGTATATTATCCTGAACAATAAATTCTTGGCATATTTTTCTGAACAATTAATTCTTGGCATATTTTTCTGAACAATCAATTCTTGACATTATTCTGAACAATAAATTCTTGGCATATTATTCTGAACACTTAGTCTTCTTCTCCTAGATGCGCTTGAATTCTTTTCGATCTTCTTTAATTCTTGGCACAAATCACACGGAGGAGTTGAAGCCGTGAAAGAGCACAGACTTAACACGATTGTTCATCATATTTTGTATGACATCATATTTGTTTGGCAAGACATAATAAACAAGACTTGGTAAATAAGTAATACAAAATCGTTGTCTATCGAAACGATGCTCGAATACGTGAAACAATTTCTACGTGAACGTAATCTCGACCTGCAAAACATGATGCTGTATTAAAACATGAATTAGGATAATTTAAGATATTTTTGTAAAAGATTTTCTAAGGATCAGGAAACCAAAAACTGCATTATTCATACCGCAATTGTTGGGACCGGAGTCGTTTAATAGCCGACGAACCCCAAAATTATTAATATTGGCAATAGAAAAATGTATTTCGTGAATTATTGTCGTCATTTCATCGATATATAAATTACATAATAACATTTTTATTTGATTTTGTTTTATATAAAAAATTTTCAGTAAAATCCTTTTCTCAAGGAATTACATTCTCCATCTTCATGGGAATGCAATGAATTTTTCATGAATCATTTGAAGCATCGCACCAATACGGTGATCATTAAATTGAATAATCATGACCATCACCTACTCCGCAGCGTTCACGAAAGGTTTTAAGTTAACGATATTACACATTTTTTTCGAATGCAGCAGACAGAGTACGTATATCGAACAATGCAGTGTCTTTATTTGCAGTGCGTGCTAGTCTTACCAGGGATATAATAACTGTCTTCTATATATAATATACGTCTTTTATATATAATATACTTACTGGCAGTAAACATGACATTCATCATATTTACTGTCCGCTCACAAGTGCGGTATCGCATCTCGTCTCTGACAGCTGACATGCTCAAATAAAATCCGTTACCCAAGTTTGGAATTCGGTGCCCTGAACAATTTTCAAATTTTAAACAATATTCCCACGCTAAAATTTTTTATACTACATACAACTGTTCATCAGAAGTAATAGCATGTTTTAAACTAACAAACATGGTTGGAAGAATAATAATTTAAATGAAAATGAGTTAATAACAACATTATGAGTCTTAAATACATTATTTTTTCAAAAAATCCTTGATTTATTTGAACGAACCAGCTTGTTTTCCATATTGATGAAGTTTGTACGTTGCATTATTGATTGTTTTTTAATTACTCATAAAGAGTGCAACACTTTGATGGTAGAAATACATATTCCATTCACGAAGAATTTCCATTAAAAAAACAACATCGAAAATCGTATAAACTTTCGAATATTGTTCACAAAGTGAACAGTTTTCCGAGGCATTAAGTGTGCAGCCTCCTCATTAACGAGCAACAACTTTCTTTTATTCCCAGACTTCTGATCTGCATGTCTGATCATCAGACTTTTGATCTGCAGGGCTGATCTGCAGACTTTTGATCTGCATGGCTGATCTGCAGACTTTTGATCTGCATGGCTGATCTGCAGACTTTTGATCTGCATGCTGATAAGCAGACTTTTGATCTGCATGGCTGATCAGCAGACTTTTGATTTGGCTGATCTGCAGACTTTTGATCTGCATTGCTGATCTGCAGACTTTTGATCTGCATGGCTGATCTGCAGACTTTTGATCTGCATGGCTGATCTGTAGACTTTTGATCTGCATGGCTGATCTGCAGACTTTTGATCTGCATGGCTGATCTGCCGACTTTTGATCTGCATGGCTGATCTGCAGACTTTTGATCTGCATGGCTGATCTGCAGACTTTTGATCTTCATGACTGATGTGCAGACTTTTGATCTAAATGGCTGATATGCAGACTTTTGGTCTGCATGGCTGATCTGCAGACTTTTGATCTGCATGACTGATCTGCAGACTTTTGATCTGCATGGCTGATCTGCAGACTTTTGATCTGCATGGCTGATCGGATCGTTAAAATATAAAACCCCCGTGCCGGCATTATAAGCATTTTCAATAACCTGTTAACTTCAATTTAATTGTTTCTAGTGAATAAACATCATCCTAATTTCCCCCGCTGTTAACCATCCATGCACTTATGATGAGCAACAAGTTATTCACAATTCAGGAGGTTTATTTAATATTTATAGACAGAATTTTTAAACAGGAATAACAAGAAAAAAAGCCTTGCACCGAAGAAAAACAAGGCCAAAACAAAAAAGTCAAATTTCCCCCCCAACTCATGAAAAAAAAAAATGTAATTCTGTTTGCTGCAGAAATACATTTTCTGTTACAGAAGAAAATCTATGTCTGTTTGCTGCAGAAATACATTTTATGGCTATCCGAACGATCAATGTGTTCACAGAGATGCTCAATCGTTCATATATTCGATTTTTCTGTCAAAACAATGCAATTGATCTTTGATACTCACGAATTATTATAGTTTTTAACGTCATGGTGAAAAATTGTCATAGTTGTGCAATTACAGCTTGATCTCGATTATTATTGAATAGAACGATCTAAATATCTTCACATTTTAAGTAGGAATTTTGAGTGGCTATCGAATGTGAAGAGAAAAATTAAGTTCAGAACTTCGAACCTCATTCATGAGTGTAATCAAAATAGTACAATATTATTCTCTGAATTTTAGAGATATGTATCGTTTACTCAGACATTGTAAATCATTAGAAATAAAATAAACTATGATTGGAAGGTAAACAATTAAAAGTATGAGCCGCTAACGATTCAGAATTTATAAAAACGCTACACTGCATCCTTTTGTTTAGATACGTTGTCATAAAATACAAGGCAATTGGAATGATTTGTTTCTTCCCTCGGATAATCTTCACTTTTATCTATCGCACTATTTAAAATTCTTGTAATTCAGAAGAGAGGCGTTCGCAACAATAGCAGACAAGTAAAATCGCAGGTAAGAAAAACATCATCGAGGAAAATTTTCATTTTCGGTTTGAATTAGGGTCTTTTCTTAATGATCGTATTACCGGACAAACATTTTAATTCACCTTGCATCAGAAGCAAAATAATATTTAGGAAGTTCCTTTGTTGCGAAAAATCTTCTAGCGACATTCAAATACACTTCTTATACACGGTCTGAATTAGGGTCTTTTCTTAATGACCATATTACTAGACAAACATTTGGATTCATGTTGCAACAGAAGCAAAATGATAGCTACGAAGTTCCTTCGTCAAAAAAGTTGCGAGAAATCTTAGCGACATTTAAATACATCTAGCGACATTTAAATACATCTTCCTATTCTCGGTCTTAATTAGGGTCTTTTCTTAATGATAATATTAACCGACAAACATTTGGACTCACGTTGCCACAGAAACAAAATGATATCTACGAAGTTCCTTTGTCAAAAAAGTTGCGTGAAATCAAGCGACATTTAAATACACCGTTCTATTCTCGGTCTGAATTAGGGTTTTTTCTGAATGATAATATTAACCGACAAATATTTGGATTCATGTTGCCACAGAAGCAAAATGATATTTAGGAACTTCCTTCGTCGAAATAATTGCGAGAAATCTTCTAGCTACTTTCAAATACACGTTCCTATGAATATTTCTGAATTCTGTCCTGATCAACTGCCCTCGTCTTAGGACTTATTTTCTGCAGCTCATATTGTTGAACAGTATCTTAAAACATTATATACGCAACTAATGAATGAACTCAAAATCTCTCATGAAAAAAGTATTCATTCAACAGTCACTTGAATATTTTGTACCATTCCAATATTTTGCACTGATCAACTTCCAGCATGAAGAGCTAAGCCTATTTTCTAAAAAAACGTTACTTAATGGATCATCACAATGTGTCATTGTTTGTGATACAATAAATCTATCAAACGGACTCATTGAAATTTTCGCATATCGTGCGTGAAGGAACCTAATTTTTTTCGACTCCTAAATCTAAGAAGCGCTTTTCCTCAGGCATGTTCCATTGTCTTTCCTTCTTTTATTGTCATTCTAAATAAAACAATGCGTACTCACTCCACGGCGCCGCGGCCAGCACTGCCACATACTTTTTAAGTTTGACGCTCCGCCCCGGGATGGCAGGCACCCGCACCGCGTGTTTACGGAACAGCTTCTTGTGATGTCCGGCGTGCGCTGCGATCTAAACAATCCCCGATGAATTTTTAACACGGAAGTTTACATGTCAGGGAAAATGTTCATTTAACTTTGTTTAGTGTGTATCTTTTATGGGAAGATTTTCGACGTAAGAAGAATAATGCGAATAAATTAAAAACGTTATTAACCGCAGCAATAATTCTTCATCTTACCTCAAAATTTTACTTATGTTGGGATGATTCGCGCATCAGGTCAGTGATAATTTCTTATCCAAATTCAACAAATCATCGATGACTTTAATGTTTTAATGTTGAATAACTCAACACATACACACGCTCACAGCATTTTATTTCAATCAACTAATTTGTTCTACGTTTAGTAAGGCCAGCCAAAGTGCATTTTGAACTTTTTCTAGACTAACCAATATTTTTCAGCTCAAATATTTGAAGTTACATACAGCGGTATACTAAATTCGGGCGGTTTAAAAAGTATGAAGTTATTCAAATCTTCAATCGATCGATGAAGTATGCGGAAATTAGTGTAGTGGCATATATCGAAAAAAATAGTCAGGATGCAAAATTATTTTTTCGGGTATTCATATTTGATCATAATAGCTATGAGCATAAATTTTTTAATGAGTACGTTTTGGTTATTTCAAAACACGAGATCGAGGTCTAACTCACTCATCGCGCCCGGACTTTGCGATATGATGAATGGTTGTTAAAGCCAGTAGTTATAATGGTGACTCAATTACAAGTTAAATGTTAAACAAAAAATACAAAAAATAAATGTATGACAAAAAATTCACTCGCTGACGATACAGGCGAATGGAAGACGTGCAATATTTTTTTTGTGATTATCTGAAAATTTAGAAAATTTATTGGATTCACCTGCACCACAGTCAAGACTATGTCTGCATCACCTGCACCACAGTCAAGACTAAGTCTGCATCACCTGCACCACAGTCGAGACTATGTATAAATCACATGCTCCACAGGCATGAGTATGTCTGAATCGCCGTAAACATGTATGCAGTTTTTTTTCTTCTATACAAAACACGAAAATTTCCACTCCGAAAATGTCACCGCTCGGCTGTATTTACGAAGGTTGGTTTTTGTATAAACGAATAATGTTTTACAACGTAAGATATCTTGAACATGTCTTCAATGTAGAATGTATTAACATGAACATG